ATCTGCCCAAAGCACTGACCTCTCTAAACTCAGTTCCTCAACTGAAAATTGGGATAATCATCTCAACCTCCTAGCGTGGTTGTTAGAATGAAACAAGAGAATCTTTTAAAGTGCTTTGAAATAATACCTGGCACAGAGCAGGCACTTAATCAAGTTTAATTTTTTAATTAAAAATAAAGACAGCATTGGACTTTGACCTCTGATACAGTAATTGGGTCCACCTCCCCTAAAGAGAAGCCCTTGTAGAAGTCATCACTATAACTCGGCTACAGCAACACCATCCTACTTGGTCTCACTGGCTCTGTGTCCCCCTTTCAATGGCTTTGTTCTGTTGTCAGTTATCTTCTACCAGAGCACGTGATTATCACTCAAAGCCACCAACCTACAGCGGTAGCCGCACATCTCACCATACCCTCCTAGGCATCGTGTGTTTGAAAATGACTAGGCTACCGGTGATGCCCTAATGCTCCATGGGCCTCCCATTTCCACATTACTGCTCAACATGTTTCATCGATTTGGAAGGCTTTTAAAACATCTATCTGCACAGCTACCACCATCACTCAAGTTTCTTGCACAGTCCTGTATCTCAAATGAGTTTTGCCTTCCTCCCTCGGGGCATCCGTGGCTGAGTTTAGCTCAAGTTCTACAAGTCTCCTCTCTCTCCTACTCCAGGTCTCCCATCCTCTCCCTTATGAACAAGGTCCCCAACTCCTCCCACCTTAACTGGGATGGATCTGAGTAAAACACTCCTCAAAAATACCTTCTTCTCTTTGTTCTAATTCCAGGCCCATCTTCTCATTACTTATTTGGTTTCCCAGGCACTTTGATACCAGGGAACAGTGTGCCCGGAGAAGGGATGAAAGTGTTCAGGTTTGTGGGAAGTAGGAAGCTCCCCTCTAAATTAACAACTTTGAGTTGTGATATGTGTCTCAATCTTGTAATTTTTAAAAATATATACATTTATTGATTTCGGAGAGAGGAAGGGAGAGGGAGAGACAGAAACATCAATGATGAGAAAGCCACTGATCAGCTGCCTCCTGAATGCCCCCTGCTGGAGATCAAGCCCAAAACCCAGGCCATGTGCTCTGACTAGGAATCAAACCGCAATCTCCTGGATTCTAAGTTGATGCTCAACCACTGAGCCATGCTGGCCGGCATGAGTAATTTTTAATTAATCTATCACCAAGAAACTGATCATCCTGAGGAAATTAATAAAGGCAAATGTTTGGATCAGCAAGGCTAAGACTCAAAGACTGGGCATTAGTCAGGTTAGCTGGGTGGTTTGTCATTTGAGGCATATTGTGACCAAGCAGCCCATTGCCACTCTCACCTCACTCTTAGTGAAATAAATAATTCCAACAGAGACTAGGATTCTTTTTTTTGTTTTTTCTTTTTTAATAAAAGTGAAAGGAGATATTTAGGATGTCAAAGGCCTGGCTCCGTCAACTCCTAAGTTGAATAAGAACTGCTTCAACAAGTATTAAATAACGCATTTAATTTTTAAATTCTTCCTCTACAATTTTTTTCTACTAGATGATAAACAGAAATGTGTTCAATGCTGATTTGTTCTCAACGCTGACTCCCTTTTAACAGCTGCAAATATCAAGAATAAAAATGAACCAATGGCATTTAGATTTGCAAGGAGAGGTACCCAGAGAAGTGAGGATACTTTATCGCACACCATTATTCCATCCACGCTCTGGCAAAAGGAACCCTGAGACCAACTTTCCATTCTGCTTAAAGAAGACAAATAAACTCTAATCGTTTGCTGTAACATCAATTTTAAGTGCACGGATTTTTCTCTTAGTGAATAAAACAATTTCAAGCTCAGCTTTAAAAAAAAAAAGTTGTTTAACTACAAAAAGGTTAACACAAACTGTGACCACTAACCAAATGTTTACAATGTTACTACAGTACCTATAAACCCAACAGAAAGGAGGTTCAAGTTAGGATTCGAGGGAGGAGATGTAAAGAGAATTCTGTGAGTATTAAAGACTTTAAATTAAGGAACTTTACCAAAATGATTACTTAATTTATAGATTTTTATAATAAAGAGAAAATGTTTTAACGATTATTTGATGCTTTTTTCCCCCTTTTAGGAAAAGACCAATTTTTCTTTATAACCCAGGTATTATCTTACAATTAAGTGATCAGAGTAATGACAACAATTTCACTTCTAAATTAGTCCAAACTGCCTTTTCACTTTCTCGTAAACCACGGAGCCGACAATCACTGCAGGGAGCACTTTTAAGATGTTTGGGGTGAGGCCCCTGAAAAATCCCCTTTTCCCTTCTTTTTTATATATATCTTGAATGAGACGAATCATAGAAGTTTTTCCTTTTTCCTTCAGGGCTATAAATTGAAGACAAAGATCAGTGTGATTCAGTATTTAATTTTTATACATTAAGATGGTCCAGTGATTAATGAGAATTTACAGGGGCTGAAATTCCTTCAGAGTACACCTCTCTCTCTACCCACAGAATATCCTCTGCAGTCCAATATCCTAGTCACTAGACACATGACACTATCTAAATCTAAATTAATTAAAATTAAGTAAACCTGCCTGGCCAGGCATAGCTCAGCGGTTGAGCAATGACCAAGGATCCAGGAGATTGCAGTTTGATTCCTGGTCAGGGCACATGCCTGGGTTGCAGGCTCCATCCCCAGTTGGGGGCGTACAGGAGGCAGCCAATCAATGACTCTCTCGTCATTGATGTTTCTATCTCTCCTTCCCTCTCCCTTCCTCTCTCTGAAATCAATAAAGATATTTTTTTAATTAAAAAAAAAAATTAAGTAAACCAAAAATTCCCTTATCTCAGTTGCATGAACAACACTTCAAATTTAATAGCTCTTAGTACACCATCATAGCAGCTGGTTTCTAAGAATATGGTTACAGGAAACCTGAATATTAATTATTAACTTTTTAAACTTATTATTACTTCATTTAATACACACATACCCCACTCACCTTGAGCCTGCATGCGTGTTCTAAGAAGGCTCAGAGGGAAGCTGGCTATCTGACCACTCGCGTGAGACACGGTACTACATCCCAGAGAAATCATTATCCCGGGGTCCACAGAGTTTCCTGCATAATGTTCTAGCCAATAGGTCTTCAAAAGCTGGAAGAGAAGAAAGCAATAAACGTCCTTTATCCACTGTGCAAGCAGAAGCGGAATAAATTCATTGCTCAACAACTTCAGTAAACATTCCTGAGTAGCTGCTTGATTCTGAAATTATACTGAGCGTTTTTGTCATTTAATTCCTATAGAAACCTGACACATCAGAACTGTTGTCTCCATTTCATACATTTTATCAACAAGGAAGCTCATTCAGAGAGACTAAGGTATCAGGTCACAAAGATGATCAATGGGAGTCCAGGTTGGTGGCTTGACTTCAGTAATGGTTCTTTCCACGATCTTTACAGAAGGTTGTTTCTAATCCCTGTACAGAGGAGGCTGTCCCCTGTCCCTGCTGTCCTCTCAGGGACAGGGCATGCAGATGTTCCCAAGTAAAGGAGTCATACAACCTCAGTTACCTTCTCTTATGTTTGTATCTGTGTAGGTTCTGTTTATTTGGGGTTTTGTTCGTTTCATTTTGCTTGACTGTTTGGCTTGTAATGCTCTTCAATGACCCAAGCAAAATTCCGGAGTCTCGAGGATTTACAGATTATAGAAAAGACTGCTAATCCACTCTAGGTTAACAAAACCATAATTTCTCAACTTTTAAGAAAGATTCATCTTTCCATATTTGCTGTTCCTTGCATGAAAGTAGTTGGAAGGAATTATTTTGCAACAGTGGGTTTAAAATATCACTAAGTGGCTTTTGAACTGTTCATTTATTAAAGGATACAACTTGACAGTTACATACTGGGACAATTTACTATGAAATGTATAATTTGATGCTTTAAAAAAAAAATTTCAAATATGTCTTTGCTCGGTGTGTAACAATAGAGAGAGAAATGTATAATATCACTCTGGTATGAACAGTAGAAATTAAAGAGTGGAGGGAGGCCAACATTAAACAGGAGCAATGAAATTATTTAGTAAGATCACAGAAACAAGAAAACAAACAGGGAAAGAAGTACACATTATAATATTCAATACTTTAAACTTCTACCAAAAAGAAGTCAGCATATTAAGGGCTAAATGAAACTGGCTATCTTTCTTGTGATGGTGGTACCACCTGCCAAAAATACCACTGAGCCTGTGCCTAGAGAGCTGTCCTTCCCGTACTGAGAATGGATGGAAGCTATGCCAGTCACATGCTCTCGTCTGGTTCTTATGACCAGAGGAGTGTTGTTAAGATAGTCTACCTGAAAGGGTTACATGGTCATAAAAATAAAATGGCTGAAAGGGGAGGGACCTGGAGTCCTGCCTATTCAGCACCACACTGTCAGGATACCTGCCCTGGCTCCATGCTGCCTCCCCAAAAACCGTTTCCTTTCCACTATTCTCATTTTCACAACTGTGCAATAATATCTCTGTTTTCTCCATCTTAACCGTGTATCAGATTCTCCTAGAGAGTCACAAAGCCTGAATGCCAGGCCTCTCCCAGGAATAATTAAATCAGAGTATCTTGGGATGTAGCCCAAGAATCTTTTTATTGATCCAGACATTGGTAATTCTGGTATGATCCAGAGATGAGAACCACCATTTTGTCAGCATTTTGGTCTATAATTATTATTACCAAAAACTAATTCACACACCAAAAAAACACCAAACAAAAAATTATTAGAATACCAGACAACTAACATATATATGAAAAGCCAGAGAAAACCATTCCATTCACTTCTTGGTCAGAAGCTATTTCATGAAAAGTCATTTATAACCAGGTTTTTAGAATAAAATCTATTATTGTACCAAGTTTTCCCATCTCACACATGATGTTACATTACAAGAATAAACTTACCTCGTAAACAGTGAGGTCTGTGCCTGCATAGGGGATAATGCCGAGCAAATTGGGGATATAGCCTTTGAAGAAGGTCCTGACACCTTCTTGTTTCAGGAGCTTCTTGCCACAGTCAAGGATCCCTGAATACTGTCCAGTGTTACTGAGAGCCAGTCTGGTCTTTATAACCTGAATGTGAGATAATGTAGTAAAAACACATTAATCAGAGTCACTCAGCTTATCTAGCAACCTAGGAAACTGTATTATAGCACAATGTTTACTAATTATCAGAGAAATCAAAAAAGAAAGCAATCCTACACCTAATTTTGATTTCTTACTAACTCACTCAATAATGAACTGATATAGTATTACAGCTTTTTTTAACAGGAGAATATGACTCATCATCATGGCTCTGATGGATACATCCACTCAACCTCCCTTACTGGGCTGTAAAGCAACATATTATGAAACAAATGATTGGAGACACCATTATTGCTTCAAAATAAAGCAACTACAGCCAAAATCCAAGTTTTAAAAAAGTACATAGTCTTGTTCAAGTGAAGAAAATTCTATGTACATTTAAATACATACTCTGGGGACTAGGGCAGCAGTGAGGCCTATAAACTATAATTTAATATGACTTGGGCTCATTGTGTGCTCATGAAGCAGTAACATAAGAGAGGCTACGAGGCCTATAAACTATGATTTAATATGACTTGGGCTCATTGTGTGCTCATGAAGCAGTAACATAAGAGAGGCTACGAGGGCCACAGTGGGCTCCAGTAGGTGACTGTGATCAGTACGCTGCTCAGTGTAATTCTTCTGACAGAACCTCACTCCTTGTCCTCTTAACTTCCATCAAATGAATTTAAGGGAGCTCTACATAGTATGATAGGAGAAGTAACTCTCCAAAGAAGCCAACATAAAAAATAAAAAAGTCTCAACTCTGTCTTGATTGGGCAAACTGTGTGTCCTAAGGGAGCGCCACTGAGCAAGCAGGTGGAAGCCCTTTGTTTTATGACCTTCTCTGCAGGACCCTACACTCTGGATAACCCCAGTCTTAAAACTCTAACCTCTCCAGGGCAGTGCACTTTCTTCTTACCCAACATCTCTGAATGTCCAATTCTAAGCCAAACTCACACATTCTATTCATGTCTTTCATGAAATCCCTAGCTGGAAATAATTTCTCCCCTCTAAATTTCCACTAATACTTCCTATTGCTCTCTCTTCTAAAATCTGTATTTTCTATGTTGGACCATCATCATGGATATACATGTTTTGTCTCCCTTCTAGACTATAAGAAGCTCCATGACCAAATGACTGTCTGACTCATCTCTGGATCTAGAAAAGTACCTCACACGGAGTGGGTATGCAGTATTAATGAGTAAGTCAATTAAACAGCAGACGACGACACTGTTATCTTCTTGGTGCATCTATAATACTACCTTTATCCTAAACAACAAAAAAATACACTGAGGCCAACTGATACTTGATATGGGATTTAAATTTTATAGCTATAAAATTGTTTATTGAACAAATTCTTGATATGGGATTCATTTATTTCTTAAAAAGTTATGAAGCATTACTTTAGCTAAAATTTTATAATAGTACATACCTCCATGGGGTAAATACAGGTCTGAGCAGTTACACCAGCCAATGATCCAGCTATAAATCTCTCAAAAATTCCTATTTTAGCACCATCAAAACTAAGCCAATTCTTATACTGTATAAATAAAAATATTAAATGTACAATATTACTGAAATGGAATATATATTGTTTCTAAGTTTATAACATTAATACTACAAAATTATTTGTAAAAGTATTCTAGACACCTGATCTAGTAGAATACTTGATTTCAATTTTTATGCAATTGTCTAAGGTAATAAGAATCTTTTCCCTTTCCTTCTGCAGAGTAAGTTGGCAATATTAAGTAACTTAAGCACATTCATGAATGTCATACTATTTCATAAAAGGTATACAAATAACACAAAGGTGGCAGGGACTGTATCTTTTCTCTTTTTAGCCCCACACCTTCCATGTGGAAGGTACTTAATATTCTTTGGCTACTGGGTAATCAGGAATAGTAACCTGATGCAAAAGGCTCGGTTTGTTACACGGAACAGTTTATTCTGGTTAGCTCAAGAAAACTGGGAGGCTACTACAATAGCACACGTGGAAATAAGGAAAACATAAATATCAGCCTAAAGGTCAGGCTTCACAGGAACTAAGTCAGTCAAGTTTCATGAGACTGAAAATGGAAACTCATTTAGAATCCAAGACAGCCTTGGAAGCAGGTTATCTTGTCTCCTCCTAGGCAAGATGCTTTCCCGTTTGCCTTTTCCAGTGGTCTCTCATCAATACAATTCAGCTCCTAAGAACTGACTGGTTCTCACATCAGCGGCTCCCCATCGGGAAGTGCGACTGGTTTGGTTCACGTGGCAGACACCATTGTCTGTTCCCAGTAACCGTTATCATCAACTTCGTTTTAGTAATGGAGCCAACTCCACTATAAACTACATTTCCATCGCCTCCCTTGCAGCTAGGTTGGGTGGTTCAGTGACTCAATTTGGCTAATGAGATAGGAAGGGAAGTTGGGTATGCAAATTCTGAGACATCTCCTTAAAGATGCTTGGACTCCTCTTTCCTCCACCTGGGAAATGGCACATGGTTGTGACCTCTGAAGCCATGTGCTGAAGATGGCAGAGCTATACTGTTAGCCCTGGACCACTTGCCTCTAACATAATGAAGCTACTGTATTTTGGTCTCTCTTTGTTACAACAGCTTAGAATGAACCCTAACCAGTACAGAAATTGGTTACTAGCTGTAGGGTACTGTCATAACTAAAACCTACAATACATGGTCTGGCTTTACTGTTAGGACACAGATACTGCAACCTAAGGAGGTGGTGATCTGTCCAGTGCTTTGTGGAAATGCTTGATGAAACTACCTCCTGTGATAACTGGGAAGGTAAACCATGTGCTTTCTGAGCCTGAAGTTCTAGGAAAACTGACTATAAAATATCAGCATGTTGGTCAGTGTTGACCACTCCTTGCTGCTTTTAGCAAGATCTAGGAGACATGAACTAAGGCATCTTGCATTTTTTGCCTTTGGGCCTTCTCCAAAGCTATCAGAGCCTGCGGAAAACAGAAAACCTGAGACGTGCAAAGAGCACTCTTGGACTCTTATGTAACACTAATAACTTGCACTACTTAAAAATAAACATAGCTCACCCAGCCGGGCATGGCTCAGCGGTTGAGCGTCAACCTAGGATCCAGGTGATCAGGGTTCAATTCCTGGTCAGGGCACATGCCCGGGTTGCGGGCTCAGTCAATGACTCTCATCATTGATGTTTCTATCTCTTTCTCCCTCTCCTTTCCTCTCTCTGAAATCAATAAAGATATATTTTAAAAAAGAAAAGAAAAATTGGATTCTTCATTTAAAAAAAAAATAAACATAGCTCATCTCAAAGTGAATTATTTAAGCAAAATCAAAGTCCTATATCAGATTAACAAATTTTAAATAAAGCATTCAAACTGCTCAAAGGGAAGCCAATATTGAAATATTTTGTGAGGGCTTCCTTCACTGCAACACTAAAATTAAAAGAACTACTAATACACATCAGTTATGGTAATATACTATAATCCATGGGACATCTTTTATAAACAATAGCAATATGAAAACAAAAAGTAATCAAATGAGAATGTACAAAGTCACTCATATTTAAGTTGATATCTACTGCTTGAGCACACTCATTTTCTCTCATGAAAGCCTAAACTTTTTAAACATTCAATTTAAAATCTGATCTTTGTTATAAAATTCCACAGACAACAGCATTTACCTGTTCATAGGCCCCAATCTTGATGGCCGTCTCAGGTGCAATTTTGAAAACATTTGCACCATTTCCTCGCCAAAGAGAACGAATTCCTCCTTCTTTTACCATCTGTCCAAACCCACCAATTAATCTCATTCTTTTTGACTGTGAACTATGAACCTAGAAAAAAAAGAGAAGATATTCTCAGACTAACTAATATGGCTGTGCCTCATTGCCTGGGGCCCAAAAGAGCTGGCAGATCTGCAAACTTTCCAATCTCTCTAAAGATGATGATGCCCATCAGTGCATCAGCATGTTGTCAGAAAGCCTCGAAACATAGAAGGTGTGAAACCCAAGACCAAAGTCCCTAAGATTCAGTACCTTGTTGCTCCACATGTCCTGCAACACACACATCGGCCATGGCTCTGAAGAAGTAGCATAGTAATAAAACTAACGAAGAGGCTCAGAGTAAAGAGGCTACAGAATTTGGATAGGAGAATGAAGGAAGACAAAGAAAAGCACCAGGAACAGACTGCCAAGAGATGGAGGCTGTCCACTCTGACAGCTCCTACCTCTAAATATGAGTCGGTCAAAAATAAGATCAGACATCAACCAAAAAACACCCCAGCTATTCATAATCCATTACCAAATGTCACGATGTTACCAAAATTCCAAAAGACAATAAAAAACAAGGTATGTAAATTTAATTACAAATTTAAGTTCACTAGATTGTGGATTATTAATTTTTGTATCCTTGCAGAGAAAGTATGCAGCAAATATAAAATTTTAATTACTTCACAGATTAAGCCATACACTATATTATAACTACTGTTAACAATCCATTACTCAGTAAAATAAAAGGTAATTAGACAACACTACTTCTAATGAGATATTAATCAATAACCCACTCTGGTACCTTAACTTCCATTTTAGAAATATTCTTAGTACTGAAATAGTAGAGTAAAACTAGGCTATTAGGTAGGTGTCAGAGTCTAGAAATAACTAATAAATTAGACTAATGGTGTCTTATCACTTCTTTAGTAGACTTATGTTTTTGAAAAAACTTCTAATAGAGTGGTTGGTTCTATTATTATTTCAAATGAAAATTCATTTAAACAGTATACAAGCATCTTTAAGAAATTTTTTAATATTGAAAATAAGACAATTTACATTTTCAAAAAATGTACAACTTTAATGACTAGTATGAAATGTATCAAAACATTTCCTTTGCAAGTTATCAAGGATTTTCAGGTGACTTTAACGCGTAAGGGCCAGTGACCATGCAATCTACCTGCATCATGAGTTTCAAGCGGTCAAAAGGCGCGGTGCACGTCCTTGAAATCATGCTAGCTATTCCTCCTGCCGCCAATCGCCGCCACCAATCTCCAGAACGCTTTTCTTGCTCAGTAAATTCATCTGGAATAGCTATGCTCTCCCCTATGTCAATTATCTGATAAAATGTAAAATCAGAATTAGATGATAGAGAAAAATGCAAACACTTGATAAATTAAGAGGATAACTTTTTACAAAGACCAAAAAAACCACAAGATTTTTTTTTCATCTTTCACCTCACTGGTACTAGACCAAATAATTTTTAATAATGCATTCAGATATAGGTTTAATGTAAAATCAATTCCCGCTGATGAAAGAAATTGAAGAAGACACAAATAAATAGAAAGATACGCTGTGCTCATGGATTGGAAGAATCAATATTGTTAAAATGTCCATACTACCCAAAGCCATCTACAGATTCAATGCAATCACCATCAAAATTCCAATGGCATTTTTCACAGAAATAGAAAAGAAATCCCAAAATGCATGTAGAATCACAAGACCCTGAATAGCCAAAGTAATCCTCAGACCAGAAGAACAAAACTAGAGGCATCACACTCCTGCTTTCAAACTATACTATAAAGCTATGGTAGTCAACCCAGTATGGTACTGGCATAAAAAGAGACACATAAATGGAACAGAACTGAGAGCCCAGAAATGAACCCTGACTTATACAATCAACTAATATTTGACAAAGAAGCCAAGAATACTCAGTGGAAAAGGACAGTCTCTTCAATAAATGGTGCTGGGAAAACTGGATAATCACATACAGCAGAATGAAAGTGGACTCCTATCTCACATCACTTATAAAAATTAACTCAAAATAAATTAAAGACTTAAACATGTGAAACTCCTACAAGAAAACACAGCAAAAAAGCTCCTTGACATTGGTCTTGGCAATGATGTTTTGGATTTGACACCAAAAGCATAATTAACAAAAGCAAAAAATATGTGGGACTACATCACACCAAAAAGCTTCTGCACAGCAAAAGAAATAATCAGTAATATAAAAAGGCAACCTACAAAATGGGAGAAAATATCTACAAATCACATAGCTGATAAGGGGTTAATATCCAAAATATATTTTTAAAACTCATACAACTCAATAACAAAATCCAATGAAAAAAGTGGGCAAAAGAACTAAAGAGACATTTATCCAAAGAAGACATACAAATGTCCATATATATGAAAAGATGTTCCATATCACTAACCATTGGGGAAATGCAAATCAAAACCACAATGAGTTATTCCCTCACACCTGTTTGAATGGCTATTACCTAAAAAAGAAAAAAGAAATAACAAATGTTGGCAAGATATATATATACACATATATACACACATATACACATATATACCCAGAAATATATATACATACACAATGGTTTATTATTCAGCCTTAAGAAAGAAGGAAATCCTGCCATTTGCAATAATATGGATGGGCCATGAGGATATTATGCTAAGTTAAATAAGTCAGACATAGAAAGATACTGTATGGCATTACTTATACGTGGAAACTAAAAAGCCAAATTCATAGTCTCTTTCCCTTCGGCATGCCACTGAAGATCCTGGTGTCACCAAGGGCCGGCGCCCCGCCCGGTGTTACGGGTATTATAAGAACAGCCGTACCCAAAGTCTCGCTTCTGCGAAGGGGTCCCTGATGCCAACATCCACATCTTTGACCTGGGACAGAAGAAGGCAAAAGTGGACGACTGTGGCCACGGGGTATCAGACAAACATGAGCAGCTCTCCTCTGAAGCCCTGGAGGCTGCTCTATTTGTGCCAACAAGTACATGGTGAAAAGCTATGGCAAAGATGACTTTCACAACCAAGCACGGCCGCACCCCTGCCACATCTTCCACATCAACAGGATGTGGTCCTGTGCTGGGGCTAACAGGTATGCGGGGGTGCCTTTGGGAAACCCTAGGGCACAGTGGCCAGGGTCCACATTGGCCACATCATCATGGCCATCTGCACCAAGATGCAGACAAGGAGTATGTGACTGAGGCCCTACGCAGAGCCAAGTTCAAGCTCCCTGAACTTGGCCGCCAGAAGATCCACATCTCCAAGCAGTAGGGTTTTACTAAGTTTAATGCAGATGAGTCTGAAGACATGGTGGCTCAAAAGCCGCTCGTCCTAGAAGGCTGTGGGATCAAATACATGCCTAATTGTGGTCCCCTGGATGAATGGTGGGCCCTGCACTCATGAGAGTCTCAGTGCTGCCCCCTCCTTACACCCAACAATAAACCCTACTTCCTGTCCGAAGTAAAAAATAATAATAGAAATAAAAAGCCAAATTCACAGAAATTGAGAGTAGAATGGGCTGGGACATGGGGAAAATGGAGGAAATGGGGAGACATTGGTTAAACGGGACTTCCAGTTATGAGATGAGTAAGGTCTGGGGATCTCATGTACAGCACGGTGACTATATTTAACTACACAGCATTTATCACATGCTTGAAAGTTGCTAGGAGAGTAAATCTTAAATGTTCTTACCATAAAATAGGAATATTATGTGAGGTGATGAGGTGTTAAGTAACCCTACTGGGGTAATCATTTCACAATATATAAGTGTATCAAATATCATGTTGTATACCTTAACTTGAACAATGTTATATACCATTTATATCTCAATAAATCTGAAAAAACAGACAATGCAGAGAAAAGCACATGAATGTACAATATTTATATCAAGAGCCCTAGCTAGTTTGGCTCAGTGATTAGAGTGTTAGCCCTCAGACTGAAGAGTCCTGGGTTCCATTCCAGCCAAGGGCACATACCTCGGTTGTAGGCTCGATCCCTGGCCCTGGTCCAGGCTTATGGGGGAGGCAACCAATCGATGTGTCTCTCTCACATCAATGTTTCTCTCTCTGTCCCTTCTACTCTCTCTGAAAAACAATGGAAAAATATCACCAGGAGAAGATTTAAAAACAAAAAAAACTTACACGAAGAGAAGTTTAAAATGCACTAGGAACCAGTGAAATGCACATTAAACCAACAAGATATCACTTTATGCCCTACAAAATGGCAAATACAGAAAACTGGATAATGCCCAGTAACAGTAATCTATAGAGAAGAAAAAACCACCCTGCACTGCTGTGGGAGTGAGCTGCCCCAGCAAGCCATTCTGGCAAATAACATGGTTAGAGGGCATTTTGGAAAATGAAGACTGGATACCCTAGTAAAATTTATAAATGCATATTCCTTCTGACTCAGAAATCCAAATGACACTCTTTCAGATACATAAAAGAAAAGCATTTTGTGGGTGGGGAACTGGAGAAAACCTAGATGTCTATTACTAGGAGAATGGGTAAAGGGAGATGTTACACACATGCTATGCAGTAGTCAGAAGCAATAAGCCAGATGAATGCATAACAAATCTTAAAACATAATGTCGCATGATCAGTGCATGAAATCTGATGTGGCCCAGCCGGGTGTGGCTCAGCGGTTGAGCGTCAACCTAGGATCCAGGCGATCGGAGTTCAATTCCTGGTCAGGGCACATGCTCGGGTTGTGGGCTTGATCAATGACTCTCTCATCATTGATGTTTCTATCTCTCTCTCTCCCTCTTCTTTCCTCGCTCTGAAATCAATAAAGATACATAAAAAAAAAAAAAAAAAAAAAAAAAAAAAAAAAAAAAAAGAAATCTGATGTGGCCCTCAGCACAAGACTATCTGTGTGAGTTAAAGCGCACACATGAAGCAACACTATGTGATTCCTAAGAATGCATCTACATTCAAGGACACAGATGGAACATGAGACTAAGTGTCTACCATAATAAGTAACATTCACTGAACACATATATTACCTGTTTAGCCCTTTTCTAAATACACTAACTTACTAATTTAATTATCAGAGCTCTTAATATTATTATCCCTAGTATATAACTGAGGAAACTGAGGCACAGAGGGGTTCTATAACTAGTGGGTGGCAGATGTGAAATTCAAATGTAGGCAGTCTGACTCCAAATCTTATGCTCTTAATCCCCCCCATATTGTCTATGAAGTGGGGGGGGGGGTAAGAAGTCACAAGGATGGATACAAATAGGATGTCACGAACAAATAATTGACTTAACCCCTGCATAAGAAAAAAAGTTCCTAATTACAAAACCTCATTCGTTCCTCACAACTCCAAGGCGAATGGTTACATAAAAAGAGGAGAGGGGGTGACATCTTTGATCCTTTCTGACTCTAAAATGTTGAGCCTTAACCTGACTTTACATTTCCTATGACAGAAGCCCAAACAGAGCACATGATATCTGTGAATAAAGAAGAGTACGTAACTTTTCTACTTTTCTAGGACAGTGGACTCTACCAGAGTAATGTATCTGAAACACAAAAGAAGCCCTTTCAGCAGATGGGCATCCATTTTAAGTTCTAGGTTTTAGCAAACAAAGAAATCATGGTAGCTGTGTTTGTATATATAATACTAACACTCCTCATTAAATTAGTAAAACAGTGTGAGAGAGAATACTGTTATTTTAGTCACTGAGGCTGGAAGTATTATAGGAATTGTATGACCATAATAACAGCTATGACATTTATGACAAATAAAAATAAAGTACAAAGTAATCTTACAGTAGAACGCTTCCAGAAACCAGCAATTTCATTGATATTTGCTGCAGGATGAAGTAAAAAGTAGTACTTCCATTCATCCCAGTCTACTGTCATTGTCCCATCAGTATCAATGCTGAAATTAAAAAAAAAATTGTGCTTACTACATTTATAAAAACACATTACATGCTTCTTACATATTTATTGTAAAAGCCACTCCTTTGGACTTCATGAATATTGCTGTATTTTCATATTTAATAGACTTTATTTTTTAAGAAGAATTGAAAATATATTCCTGGCCGGGTGGCTCAGTCAGTTGGAGCATCGTTTCATACACGAAAAGGTTGTGGGTTCAATTCCGTTAGGGCACATACCTAGATTGTGGGTTCAATCCCCAGTAAGAGCACGTAAGGGAGGCAAAAGATCAATGTTTCTCTCTCTTTCCCCTCCTCTCTCTCTCTAAAAATCAATAAAATATATCCTCAGGTGAGGATTAAAAAAAGATTTTTTGAGAATACAACACAGAGAGTTACACCAGTTTCCCCTAATGGCAACATCTTACGTTATGATGGTACATTTATTACAATTAATAAACCAATATTGATACGTTATTAACTAAAGTTCACACTTTACTCAGAGTTCCTTAGTTTTTAACTAATGTCCCTTATTTGTTTTAGGATTTCCATGTAGTCATGTCACCTTAGGTTCCTCTTGGCATGACAGTTTCTCAGACTTTCCTTGTTTTTTGGTAACTTTGATGGAATTTCTTTTGTATTGCTTTTTAATTATTTATTTGTATTTCTCAAACACATGCCTGTGCTCTTTTAAAGGGAAAGGCTATTTAAAGTCACCTTTGTATTGCTAGCACTGAGCACTCAGAAAATGTCTGTTGAATGAATGAATAAAACTGCCTGAAGATGAACCTTATACCTTTTGACTCCTCTAATAGTATTTTTACCTCTAACCCTTTTCTCTCTACTTATAGCTTTTAAAATCAACATTAAAATAACCTTTTATTTATGAATTTAAAGAAAAGACTCACTTTTTAACATGTGACATTCAGGATTTACTCAACTTTCAAGCATCTCAAAACAAAAAATACATCAGATGTTGTTTCTTTAAAGTCTGAGTAAAAGGTGGAATTAAGTGAAATGCTTTTACAACTGCATTTTTCTTAATGGAAATTCTAAAAAACAAATTCCATTCTGCCAACAGAAAGATCAGTACGATGTCCAGGTCTAGCCAAGAAGAACTAATGGGTGTAGAATTTATCCTTTCACTATAAACAATTACGAAACTGGACGCAATATATATATGGCCAAACGCTAAGCTATGCATGACTCCATCCATCTCACAAAAGCAGTTATTAGAGGGCTGTGAGCTTAATGGAAATTCTGTAGCTGCACAATGTTAGAATAAAGGAAGGGAGGAAGAGAGGGAAGGAGGAGCTACATTTATGGAAATTAGTTTCTAACAGGGAATATTAAACAAAAATGAAAACTATTAACAATAAGGATAAAGGCTGACCTTTGTAGAATTTTTTTTGCCTGAGCTTCAGAAATACGTAAACCCAATGATTCCAAAGTAGCAATTAGTTCTGAAGTTTCTATTATTCCTGTAAAAAGTAAAAAAGTGTCAAGTTAAAGTCTCTAAGATAACAAGGCAAAATATACTTAGAACACAAGAGTCTTAAAAAGCCAGTGTGTTTCATAGGCCTTTCATCCCATATTCACAACCCAAAGACTAAAAAGCTCTAAAATTAAAAGACGTTTCATCAACTACACTTTAATTAAAAAGGGCTTTACATTCCAGAATGAAAAAAACAAAAACAAAAAACAAAATAAAAGACATTTTGTAAATTTTGCACCAAAATTTATTTGGTGGCAGAACATGCCTTAAACTGATGTGAAGTTAACTTTAGACCATTACTTATCTAATTTAGTGTTATTGTTTATTTGTTTCACTAAAGGAATATTCATGAACAGTTGACCTTTGCCCTGGCCAGTGTGCTCAGTGGTTAGAGCATCCACCCAAGAACGGAAAGGTCTCAGGTTCAATTCCTGGTCAGGGGCACATACCTGGGTTGCAGGTTTGATCCCTGGCCCCTGCTGGGGCAAGTGCGGGTGGCAACTGATTGACGTCTCTCTCATATCGATGTTTCTCTCCCTGTCCCCCTCCCTTCTCTCTCTAAAAATCAGAGGAAAAAATACCCTCAGGTGAGGATTAATAAAAAAACAAAAAAGGAAATATAAAAATATATTAAAATGCTAAACCTGATCTCTAGATAGCAGAGTTACAAGTAACTCAGTTTCTTTCAGGAGCTTGTCTGTGTTATCTAACTTTCCTGCAACTGAAATATTTTCAAAATCATCAAGAAAACAATAAATATCATTTTTAAAAACTACCATGATACTTTCAGCTCATATACTACACAAGAGTGGAGAGACCTACTCACTAAGCCAAGAAGCTATAAATTCAGAGGGCAAAAATTATTTTATTAAAATGATGACAATCAAACAGAAATTATAACACTAATAGATGTAGTTTATATATTATTCTTAGAAATTAAAGAAATACTGCGTAACAAGTAATAGAATTGAATCTTTGATAGTAGGAGTTAGTTGAAGGCTAATAAACATATCCTGTAATATTGTTATTTGTGCTGAGCTAATTGTGAGTAAAACACACATACACACACCATCCTTATTTCGGTCCAGCCTGTTAAATGCCAGCCTCATTTTTTTCTCATGGTCTGTAAGGTATTGCAGAAATTCTTGGAAGTCCAATCCTGAATCAGCATTGGTATCTCCAGCTTTAAAAATTTCCTGCAAGAAAGAAGAAACCACTGCCAAGATGCGTTGCAAGTAAAGCCCCTGTACCATTCTAACATTGGCCCATTTCACTCATGCTAATTATGATTTCCATCCGCAGCCACTAGCCTGGTTTTTCACTCACAGCTACAAAGCTAAGTGCATCAAGTAACCTTTTATTTTAAAGAGTGTGCAATACTACAGTCAATAGCCACCATGTCATTCCAAATTATCACCAATCTTAGAAAAATTTACCTGCAGTTATCAATGAATGCCAAGTACCTTGAAAGGATACTAAGATACATAGTTCTTGCCAACAGAGACCTCATTAAATGAGATAAAATATGTGAAAGTGTAGTATGACCCACAGCTTCATAGTTTGAGACCTATAAAGTAAGAGTGTATGTTCAAGTCTCATTAGGGTGTTATGCTTTTGTAAATAAAAAATTAATAATCCTAATTTTTAAATGCACATCACCTGTATTTCTAGTGGATTCCCAAGTCAAGGACACAGGTCGTGTCCTGTTCATCTTTGTACCATCAATGCCCGGCACAAAGTACAGCACACAAAGGCCTTTAATTAGTATTTGTTGAACTGAAAAATACTGCGAGCTGGGCCCTGGACTAGGTCCTAAGGATTAAAAGAAGAGCCTAGGCTGGTGTGGCTCTATGGTTAGAGCCTCGGCATGCACACAGAAGGGGTGCAGGTTCGATCCCCAGTCCCCATTGGGAGGCATGCAGGAAGCAACCAATTGATGTGTCTCTCTCACATCAATGTTTCTTCCCCTTTCTCTCTCTCTCCCTTCTCTCCCTCCTTCCCTCCCTACCTTCCACTCTCTCTGAAAATCAACGGGGGAAAAAATCCTCCGGTGAGGATTAACAAAAAAACAAACAAAAGACAGGAAGATACAGTCCCTGCCCTGAAGGAAATTACAGACTAGTAAAGGTCACTCATATAACCAGAGAGAACACATTGAGTGACATAATAGGAAGGTATTTAAGGCACAGTGGAGTTTCAGGGGATTCAGGAGAGCCTGTATCCCTGCCATTCCTCTCTGATTCCTACCTCTCTCAGGTTTCTTCTCTGATATCCCTTCTCAGGTTAGCAGAAGCCTGAGATACTTGACAGGCTGAGGTGCAGTGTCCTGGAATTCTGGGCTGGAGAAGGAAGTAGAACCAGAGACCGTTCTAAGAGACAGTGCCCAGAGACAAAATAAAAATAAAACCATGTAGCCCTAGCCGGTTTCGCTCAGTGGTTAGAGTGTAGGCCTGAGGACTGAAGGGTCTGGGGTTCAATCCCAGTCAAGGGCATGTACCTCCCTTGCAGGCTAGATGCCCAGCCCCCATCAGGGCGCGGGTGGGAGGCAACCAACTGATGTGTCTCTCTCACATCAATGTTTCTGTATCTCTCCTCCTTCCACTCTCTCTGAAAAGCAATGGGGGAAAAAAAATATCCTTAGGTGAGGATTTAAAAATAAGTAAGAAGTAAGTAAGTAAACAAATATAAAAAACCATGTAGATGGTTTAAGTCACCCATCTGAAGGAACTAAGCAGAGTTCGAGGACACAGGTCTGAGATAATGATATAAAAATTAATTCAGAGCAACAGGTTTTGGAGCACAGAACCCTGAAGGAATTTCCTGAGCCATGGGAACATCTGGACTTCACACACACACACACACACACATACACACACACCCCTCTCACTGGTACAGAGCTGAAATAAGTGGGGTAGTATCTGAAGACTGTTTAGCACTTGACAGAGGGGAAGTAGAATAAATGACACCCTGAAACTTCCATCTGAACCTATTTTTAAATAATCAAGTCAAAGGCCCGTCTAGAGAAGGAAGACACCCCCTCATTTAGCCGAGGTCCTAAACAATCAGCTACAGAGGAAACCCCATGGATCAAGGTCTGACTCGCCCCAGACCCTGGGTCGGTCAGAAAGAGCCGCCAGCTCTGGGGACCCATCTGTGCCTGTCCTGAAGTGTGAACGACCTAATTAAAGAGGCCTCCGACTCCTGCATTCACAGCAGCTAACACAGCTCCTGAAACTCTGTGCAGGTTCAGTGAATGCTGAATGAAGTCACCAGAAACCCACTCAGCCTCTCCCACCAAGGCCAGGAGGAGGCGTCCATCATGGCGGACAGCACCCGTCTGAGGAAGGTGGAGCCGTGCGTCGCCGGCGGCACTATCTGTGCGCCAGGAGCTCCAGCAGGGGCGGGTGTGGCTTCCCAGCTACCCAGCGTCTCCGCAGACGCCCGGGGCCATGTTCCCTCGGTCAATCACCTTCTCCGACTGCAGGCCGAACGAGGAGCTCCAGTTTCTCAGCCCTTCCCGGAGCTCGATGATGTCCACCACCCCGTCCCCGTTGCGGTCCAGGTCTTGGAAGAGGATCGCGTAGGGAAAGGAGTCGTCGTCCTCCTGGCAGGCCGCCCTGGGCAGCACGAAGCCCCGCAGCCAGCGCAGCGCGGCCCGTCGGGTGGCGGCCGGCGGGGTGGGCGGTGGAGGCCTCAAGGCCGCCTCTCCTTGGGGCCGGGGCGAGGACATCCCGCCCTTCGGCCCTGCCACCTGCTGTGGCCTTGATGATGATGATGACGACAACGCCGCCAGGAGGCCGGTCCAAGCAGTCAGCGCAGCCATGGCAACGGCCCAGCCGAGCCGCCAGGGTTCGAGCCTCCCAGGGCCAGGGTACCGGCGCCTATGGGGCTGTCGAGCGCTCCGACCGGGAGCCTCCGCGCGACCTCGCGGGAACCCTGGCGAGCGCCACGCGAGAGTTGGCGCACCGGAAGCTGGAACGGCGGACTTCCTTCCGGCCTAGAGTCGACCCGGAAACAGCGGGGACCGGAAGTGAATTCAGTGCCCTGCGTGGAACCTGAGCTGCGTGTCCAGCATCTCCCGGTGTTGACTCTCCGTCTGTGGCAGGTGAGTTGCTCTGACTTGCGCCCCTGACGGCGGCGTCCAGTGCCCTGGTGCAGCCCCGCCTCGCAGGGAAGGTCATCGCCTGCAGTCAGGGTCCCGTTGACCCTGCCGGAGAGTCCGGAGAGGGCGGCCTTCCCGCCATTGGAGTGTGTGGACAACTGATTTGGACAAAGAAGCCATACAGTGGAAAAAGGAAAGGCTCTTCGATAAATGGTGCTGGGGAAATTGGAAAGCCACCTGCGAAAGAATGAAACTGGACTGCTGTTTGACACCATACACAAAAATCAGCTCAAAGACCTAAATGTAAGACCTGAAACAATAAAATACGTAGAAGAAAACACAGGTACTAAATTTGTGGACCATGGTCTCAGATAGGATTTTCTGAATTTAGCCCTGATGGCAAGGGAAGTAAAAGCAAAAATAAATGAATGGGACAACATCCCATTTAAAAGCACAGCAACAGAAATCATCAACAAAACAAGGACAACCAACTGAATGGGAGGAGAGATTTGCAAACAATGCCTCCGATAAGGAGCTAATATCCAAAACATGTTACAAACTGATACAACTCAACAACAAGGAAAAACAATCCAATTAAAAATGGGCAGAGGACCTAAACAGACACTTTTCCCAAGAAGACATGCAAATGGCCAACAGATGTGAAGAGATGGTCAGCTTCACTAGCTCTGAGGAAAATGCTGCTCCAAACCACAATAAGATACCACCTCACGCCTGTTAGAATGGCTGTTACCATTAAGACAAGAAATAAGTGTTGGAGATGCTGTGAAGAAAAAGGAACTCTCGTGTACTGCTGGTAGGAAGGTAAATTGGTACAGCCACTGTGGAAAACGGTATGGAGGTTCCTCAAAAAGTTAAGAATGGAGCTATCCTATGACCCAGCAATCTCTCTTCTGGGTATCTACTGGAAAAATTTGAAAACGCATATTTATACACCTGTGTCCATTGCAGCACGATTCACAATAGCCAAGATATGGAAGCAACCTGGATGTCCATTGATAGACAAATGAAGAACATACAATACATGTATACAAAGGAATATTACTGAGCCATAAGAAAGAATGAAATCTTTCCATTTGCAGCAACATGGATGGACCTAGAGGGTATTATGCTAAATGAAATAAGTCAGAAAGAGAAAGATAAATACCCTATGATTTCACTCATATATGGAATCTAAAAAACAAAATAAATAAGCAAATAAAACATAAACTCATAGATACAGAGAACAAATTGATGGTTGCCAGATGGGAGGAGGTTTAGGGGGATGGATGAAAAAGGGGAGGGATTAACGTGCAAATTGCCAGTTATAAAAATAGTCACAGGGATGTAAAGTATAGCATAGAGAATGTAGTCAATAATATTGTAATAACTATGTATGATGTCAGATGAGTACTAGATTTATTGGGGTAATCACTTTGTAAGTTATAAATGTCTAATCACTAAGTGGTACACCTGAAACGTAATATTGTTTGCCAACTCTAACTGAAAAAATAAATATAAAGCAGTAAAAAAAATACCAAAAAATATATATATAAAGTAGAAAATGCTGAAAAACTTCAAAATAGTCCAATTTTTTTCTGTACCATAAAGTTATGTTAGGTTAATATAATGAGGTTATATCAGGTAATATAAATTGAATTTTAATCCATTTAAATGCAAATTTCTAGTGAGTGTTTATTAAAATTTAAAGAAGCTTAAATAGATTTTATAACAAAGATTTTAATAAAGATCTTAAAGTATAATTCTGGCTTACATAATATTAAAATTCCATATTTGAGTCTAATTTCTGTGTTAATCTTTTTAGAGACTGGATATAGCCTCTTTTCATACAGACTTCTTGGAATTGTAAGGAGAAAGCCACGACATCCTCTTGTTTATAAATAAATGTACGTAAAAGGACAGTTCAAGATTTCATTTCTGCAGTCCTCTCAAATGTGGCCTTACTGATTCATACACCAAACAGTTTATCCACACTGAAGGAAGCAGCTCAGAAATCCTGTAACTCTGTGGCTTTTATAAATTTAACCAAAGACACTGATCATATTTAGCCATGGGATGCCTATTATGCCTAGAAAATGAGAGGAAAGGGAAAAGTAACTCTTTTTCTAACTTTATGCAAATTCGTATAGTAATGATACTTATGAAACAAAAAACTTTACAAACTAATAATGTATGAAGCACTTATTTTCAGTATAATATTTTTATTCCTGAGCAGATATTTTAGATTTAGCAAATGAACAAAATATTTTTAGCTGTTATAACCTCAATCCACTAAATGTAATTTGGCTCAATGACCAGTAGAGGGTGATAGAATATCAGAATGACAGCATAAGAATGCATTTAGGGACCATGTTTCAGACATTTTTCTATAAATACAACTTACTCAATACTTTTCCCCCAAAACCCATTACATATTTATCTATTGAAAATACAAAGTATATAGATCCATCACATTCGTGATATAGAAAGATACCGTGAAAAGTTTTTTACTTATTCCTGTTTTATTTATCATTCTATTTTACATTTTTTTCCCTATATCCTACACCATCATGGAAGGTCATTAACCAAAGAAATACATTGCATCAGGGTTTTTTTACCTTAAGTGCTGCAAATATCGTTTATCTGTCTTATCGATATCTTTCAAGAGTAGTCAAGTTAATGAAACTCAATGTAATGGGTTCACCGAGCCAGCTGCAGTTGTTTACAATTACTGTTGAAGTGCCTCTTGTTTAGGTTGTTATAGACAATTAATCCTTCCTTTTGAAGGGTATCAACCTGCAGTTATTTATGGAGTACCCACGAGATGCTCAATTTATGTGCTGTAACAAATTACCAAAAATTGGGTGGCTTGGAATAAAAGATATTTGCTTTCTCACAATCCAGGAGGCCAGAAATCTGAAATCAAGTTTGGATTCTTCTGGAAGCTCTGAAGGACAATCTTTTCCTGACCACTCCTAGTGGTTGCCAATAATCCTTGGCTTTTAGCTGCAGGTGGCTCAGAGGGCAGGAGGCGGAGGGGAGGCTAGAATGAGGGGTTAACTGAAAGTATGTATAGCACACGGCCGCTCCAGACACCTGCCCGCCTCCCCACCCTCCTCTCCCACTCCTGAATACCTGGAATACCAACTAGCATTGGACTCCTGGCCAAAAAAAAGGTGCTTGTCTTGAAAACTGCATAAGCCGACTGAGGAGATTCAGGAATGCTGAGACTGACCGCCAGCGCCCCAGTAAAGCTCTCTCCTTATGTGCATATTGGAGCACCAAATCTCCCCTCCCCCCAAAAAACGACAGGCTCCAGCATTCTCGGCCTAAAACGAAGGCAACCATGGATGAGGCTATTTATAGAGGCGGTGGCTGGACACCCATCAAGAACCTGTGCCCCCTTTCTTAGAGCGATGCTCCTGGGCTCGGCTGCCGGCCAGGGACGGCCTTTCCCAGCCTCTACTGCACCCAGGTGTGGCCCTCTAGCTGGTGGGACGGGAGTAGAAGGGATGTGGGTCCCTTGCAGGCCAGGGCTCTTGAGAAAGTAGGTGCACCTTTTCAGTTTCTCGTTTCACCTTCTGGCAGCCGGAAGCAGAAGACACCAACGCCCAAGGAGGTGCTAGAAGCAAGATGCTATGACAAGTCAAACTCTGCATGTTGTGTCCTTACCGACAGCCTTCCTCACTAGGCCTGAGGCAAAGTGGAAAAAAAAATCTGTCCCATTAGTCTCCCACGGGTGGAGGGAAGACTCACACTCAACTGAAGATGCCAGCCTTTCAGATGTCATCTAGCTCCTCAGCCCCTTCCATTTCAGCACTTATATAGCCTTAGGATAAGCAAAGGAGTAAGAATCCACAGAATGGGTTTTTTAAAAGCATCTTCTCTGTGACTGTCACTGAGGATCTGACCTTGACACTTGTCAGTGAGCGTCAGTGACTCAGGAGAGTCTGCTCAAATTAAAAACGGCAAAGTTTTATTCAAGAGTCTTAGGATTTGGAAATCCTAGGAACACAACTAGGCGATACCCAGTGTTCTGTGGAAGAAGGAAAAGCTGAGAGTCTCCTCACAGTAAAAAGTAAATAAAGCGCATTCTTGATTCTTAGCGTCTGGATTGGCCTGAGATGGTGATCGTCCAGGTGCCCAGTGTCCTGGATCACAGAGCTCACTCGGGTTGTCTAGACACATGAGCATCCTTCCTTGAAGTTGGGAGGATTCTTCAGAGGGTTACCTATGGGATCTCCAGGCACTGACACACAACTGAAAAGCTGTAAGTCCTCAGGGTGGTAACAGTAGGATTAGAAGAGTTTGTTCATGCCTCAGCCTCCCTGATTTTAGTTACATAGTAGTTTGACTCTAATGACTCTATTTTGCCTGTTCACTCTTTACTCACGCATCACTTTGGAATGTGGGGGTTACTGGGGTTTCAACTGCCGGTGAGTCAGAAAGAGGCCCGTCTTCACGCCCTGTTAGAAAAGACTAACAGTAGCCTGTCTGTGCACTGCTATTAGGGCTGAATTCTAACTCCTTACTCCATTCAGTACACGCTGCGTGATGTGGCCCGGGCTGCCTCCCCGGCCTTGCCTCCCGCACTGTCCTGGGCTTGGCCGCCCCGGACCTCCGGGTCCTTAGCTTACCTACCATTCCTGCCTCACGCCTCCCTACATGCCTGCTGAGTGTTCTTCCTCCCACTACCCCTTTCTCTCGCTTTTCGGGCCGCAGCTTAAATATTACCTCGTGACAAAGGACTTTCCCTAAACAGCTCCTCACCCGCACTCCAGTATCCTCGCTCGCGTGCACTATGTATTTTACTTTGCAACATCTATCACAAGTGACATAGCTGCGTGCGTGTGTTTCCCAGCGCCCGCCTGTGTCCCTCTGAGCGTGCAGTTGGGGCACGTTTCCCAGCCCTCCTCGCAGCAGGTGGCTCA